TTCAACTGTGTGGCAATTAGATTTGATTATTAAAATAGTCAAGCTCTCTGTACCTGTGACCCTGTAATATTTGTCCAATGGCGCAGCTTTGTTCAGTGCATGGATTTGCCTCCCAATGGATTACTCAGGCCAGGGGAATTTTTGTGCTTTCCTGGGTTTTCCCAGCTGTCATTGGTGCACATATTCACATATTGTTTAAGATTGCTCTTCTCTGGGTTTTCAAAGGATTGCTTTGGTATCTTTTTTCCAAAGGCGTATGCATGATTTAGATTCTGGTGTGTGTGCTTGTGAGTGTGTGTCTGTGCTGTAGAAGGGGATGTGTTCATATCCAAAGAATATGAGTTGTAATGAGCCTGGCTTTGAGCCAGGGTGTTGACTGCCTTTCAGAACCTCTTAATTGATAGCCATGCTTTGCCTCTTGATGTCAGGTGTGACTCACAGGTGCTGCTAATGAAGTGGGGGCAGAGGCTGCACCTACTCCCCAGGCCTCCGCCTCTGCATTAGATTCAACCAGGCAGTATCATTTTTTTCCCAAATGTTTAACTCAGTCTGAAGCTTGATGCCATTTAGATGCCAAACTGTGCTAGTTTTTTTGTTCTTTTTCCTCAGCATCTTGACAAGCCACACCAGTCTGTTGTAGAAGATATCAGTGACAACTTATTATTCTCTAACACAAATCAAGATTTTGCAGTTAGAGGGGATTTTGCTGAAGCAAGGACGTGGATCATTTTTGTCCTGTTATCTTGTGTTTCTGTAAAATTCATCTATAACCTCTTGCCCGTGCATTTGGTTTCAGGGCAATGTCATCAGCTAGCTATAATTTCTGAATGCTTGACTTGGAGATAGTTATAAAAGTCTGCTGTTTGTTGAGGTGGGAAAACACACCAAAGGTTAACAGAACTTTGGGATTGGAAGAGACTGGGAGATATCTCCTAATCTAGTTGCAATTCTAAGCATTCACCAGTGCTACTGTCTGTGGACCAGAGCTGCCCTGAATGTCTGAGGGAATCTGGGCGAATGGACATCAAGGTCCTAAACCTCGATTTGACTGATAGCTCTGGCCAGTCCTGTCCCCAAATCACAAGACTGTAGAAGAACTGTGGACATCTTAGAAATGCCTCTGAGAGCCTG